TTCAAGAATAAAAGCCAACTTCACTTCAAGTATTCCGCTACATTTAACATTCCATTAGGGGTGTGCGAATAGTGATTTTCAAACTCAAGCCGAGCCAAGCCGAGCTTTTTAAAAAATTTTCGAGCTCGAGCTTTTTCGAGCCGAGCTTTTCCTAGTGTCACCTTATCTAAATTATTAAACTTTTTTTCTTAAAACAGTGCATAATAATAATAATAATGTTCAGTCAATTTTTAAATAAAGACAATGTTATTTTAATACATATGTTTAAAAACATTGAGAATTGTCAAGACACCAAATAGTAGATAATCACGATAAGAACTTAACTAAATTAAGATGCAAGAAATAAAAGGATATCGATTGAAGGGCTGACGAGATATGCAGTGCAGACAGAGACAATCAGATTGTCTTTCATAACAGAGCAGCAACGCGACATTGAATGACGACAAAACAACTAGCAAGTCGATTAATAATGTATATTGTAACTACTATGAATATCTAATTCTATTTTGTATAAATAAATACAAAATAAATTTAAAAACACATGATTATTCTTGTTATTTTCATTACACAAAATATTTTTGTTTCATGAATTGTATTAATCAAAAAAAGAACATGGTTGGTTTGGATCCAAAAAGGTGGAGAGACAAGTAAAAAGTAAACTTATATATTTAAAAAATATAATTGACATATAGAGGAAATAGACCAAAACACTAAAATTAATAGAATAACACACAAAGTAAACAAGAAATGAAATAAAGAACACGATGATTTAATACTGTCACTCAATTTTGTTATCTAGAAGGGTCGGCGAACTAATCAATAAATAGCCAAAACCAGTTTCCTCCCCTTCACACAGTCTCACCGCCCCCCTCCCCCCATAAGCCGGGAGGCCCAACACTTTGTCCTTGAAACACCCTAGCCTCTGAAACAATAAACCCTTAAGGCGGGGACACACTTGTCATACACCCTTCCGATCCTACTACGATCCGATTTGCGGGATTCCAGAAGGATCGGTGCGGGATCGGAGGGGGTGAACACACATGTCATACACGCTTCCGAACCGGCAACCCATCTCCGATTTCCTCCACCGGGTAGATCAACACTCGCCAGTCTGATTCGTAAACGTTAACTACGTGCAGAAGGTGATAAATACTGTATGTTCAAAAACTTTTGTATTCAGGATTTAGCCATGGTTTGCCTAGATGAAGAGGAAGAAAGTTAGACATCTCTGGAGGGCAGTGGAAAACGGAGAATTTGGGTCCATTCTGCATGGAAGGAAAGCATAAGTGCCCATTTTATATATTATAGGTTTTTCTCTCTCGAGTTCGTTTAGCTCTCCTACCCGTCCGATTTTCATGATTGAGGTCTCGAATTGAAGGTATGCACGCACAGATTTCAAATCAACCATCGGCATATATTTATCTCAAACCATTGTTCCAATAAAGGTGATTTTAAAGAAATAACCCGTCCTGCATCCGACAAACGAATAGACTGCAGTGTCGGTGCGTGATCGGAGTCAAAATCGGAGTAGGATCGGAGTATGACATGACGCGTGTCGGAGAGGTGTAAACAACCGCGTTCAATGTTATGTACCATTCCCCTCTCCGACAGTCGTACCGCAGTATGATCGGAGTCGGATCGGAAGGGTGTATGACAAGTGTGTCCCCGCCTTTACACCCGCCCGCGTTGCTGTTTTGACAACAGGTTTATGAATGCGATCACTATTTTTCATTTTCCAGAATTAACTATCAATTATTATTATTTGCAAGTTACAAATAGGAAACTACATCACATTATGGTATTCAATGATCCATGTATTATCAAAAATTAATAATTCATTACTTATTTTGATAATACAAAGCATTCATTACAGCACGCACCACTTATTGATATATATATATATATATATATATATATATATAATCATCAAAGTAACTGTTACTTTATACAAAATAAAATAGGTACAACATTGTGTGGCCAGTCAAACTTTATAAACAAACATTTTATTCTATAAAATATAGATGGTAAATAGGGGTTGGTTTAAAGGAAATAAAATACAAAACAGATTAATTAATTATTTTGATAAACATCAGAAAGGTTATGGGATTGATTGAACTAAAATAACCCAGGGAAACTTATAAGTAGAAAAGTCGTCAACCACAATCTGTTTAATCAGTACGTTGTTAGAGAGAGAGAGAGAGCAGAGAGAGGGAGAGAGGGGAAGAGAGAGAAAGAGAGATAGCAGATAGGGGCGTTTGATAAGGAATCTGAAAAAGTAAATAAACAAGGAACAACGGCACGACGATACTCGTTTACAGCCTTATTGTGTCGCCCACTACATTTGCACACGTGACCACATTTTGTTTCTTCCTTATCTTTCATCCGTCCCAAAATAGAATTCCTGAAATAGTTTGTTGGTATAATCTCCCCTCCCACACAAGCACAGAAAACGTACTACTATAACCCAGAATGCCAACCGCATGGTAAAAAGCATTAAGCGGTTTGAGAGAGCTTTGCCTGTCAATCCGTAGGCAGCGCCACCAGCGTTGCTATGCTATTGCATGGCAACGCTGGTAGCGCTGCCTACGGATTGACAGGCAAAGCTCTCTCAAACCGCTTAATGCTTTTTACCATGCGGTTGGCATTCTGGGTATAGTAGTACGTTTTCTGTGCACACAACGCAAAGGCGCAGTGCTTAGTGCGCACTGGCAACCGTGTGTCGTCATAGCGACGAGCCAATCACGCACTCGCACTGCAATGTATATTACGATACGGATAGCTGTCAGCTGTGCTAGAAAGACACTGTGATGATAGGTGGTAGTTTGTCACTTTCCTATCTCCTCAAAATTACGATCGATAATCATTGCGTCTTGATTGAGCTGAGGTTCGTGCTTATCAAACCTCGAATGCATGAACAACGTAGAATTGTGATAACATTGTTTTCAATTACGACCCAAATTAAGTGGTTTTTTAGTTTTGACAGTATTAAAAGCTCGGCTCGAACTTCGAGCTTTTTCAAAATGCCTCGAGCCGAGCCGAATAATGAAAAGCTCGACCAAAAAGCTCGAAGATTCGAGTACTCGCACACCCCTACATTCCATAGAGAGATTATTTTGACAACATTATCATCACGATTCATCACGTTTCAGATGTTTTACTCATCATAGAAAGTTATGTTATTGATAAGGCTGAGACAACTAACTGACATCCCCCAAGTCAAGGAATTCCAGCTTTAATAGTAACCCCACAATCAATTTCTCAAAACTATGCTAGAGGGTTCATTCATTGGCACAGAAGTACAATATTAACTGATGCGACGTGACGAAGGAAAATTCAAACTTACACTGTTGTAACGGATATACCTCCCTTTGAAGTTAGAATATGCCTTCCCAAAAAATATTTTCTTTTCAAATAAAATCACAATACACTGATGAAATCACAGAAGTGTTTAGCTACAAAAGACCTACCAATGTGATTTTAATACTATTTAAAGGTTCTTCCAAAGTAAGAGATATCATATAACACTAATAATAACTCCAATGACGAACGGTATGGGAAATATTTTAATCATTGAATGGCCAACCAAATTTGGCAACTAACGCAATTAAAATCATTATTGTTTTTACACTTATTACCCTTTAAACAATGCTAAACGCTCAAAATATGCATATTTTACCCAATTTATCGTAGTTAGATAAATTAACGTAAGCCTTGAAAGTAACCGTCGATTTCGACAGGTTTCACCTACTCTATATGGAATAGCTGATGCAATTTTTTTATTAAAATAGGACATAGGTATGTGAGCCAGTCACAGAATGCGTTAGGGACTAAAATTCAATTTTCTACCTTATTTATTGTTGATGACCAAGTTAATCATAAAAGTTGCTATAGCTTGTTGAAGCTATATGACTTTGTTAAAAAGTCTGTGTATTTGACATAAATTAGTGCTTTAGATCAGCACAATCTATCGGTGGCTCGCATCCACTACGACGATTTTGATTAAAAGACTGGCGACAACTTTAACATGGGAATGGAATGTCTAGTTGTATTAGGAAGATTTTATCCCTACAAACATTAACTGTCAATTAAATTTGTCGCTTAGGACAGTTTTAGGAAGGTGTTTCGTAACCCTCTACCAACCTTTTAATTTAAGGTATTATTCCTAAGTGTATAACAAATTTAAATATTACATTTCAATCGTGTGATAGTCTATGATTAACCACAGAGGTACCATATGTATTTGTAAAAAATTGCTTTTATACATTAAAACCATGATACTTTTTTTTGCAAGAATATTAATACTAACGTCACTAGCACCTGAAAGAAGTATCAAAATTTTGTAATGTAAAAATTCTAAATGGCGGCCATTTTAGTTTTTTGAACAAGAATAACTTAAAAACTGTGAATCATATTAAAAAACACAACAATTATGTTTTATTGGAAATATGAATACAAATAATGTAACAAAAATGCAATAATAAATAACCGAGATATGATATTTTGTGTTGCGCACCTAGTAGTGCTTATGAAACTATCATATTGGTTCGGTCATTGTCACACTGTTGCAGATAATAACCAGAGTACTTTGACCTAGACTGGACTGTCCGACCTTGGCACTAAGAAGGTTGAAATCTCTAGGAAGGTTGCAACTTAGGAGACAAGACGAATGGGCGTCTCACAGCTTCTAGGCTATGTAAAATGACTAGGGCTGTCAAACTGAGCTGAGGGGTGTTATAAAAGATCAAAATATCAAATTAGCTAGGAGTAAAACTATCCCCCCCCCCAAAAAAAAAAAAAAATCTTTAAGGAGAAGTGTTGCCACAGATATTTCTGGCACACTCGGCTGACTAAAACTGTACTTTAATAAAGATAATAACCAGTTGAACAAAAGTAAAGTGGTGAATAGCCAAGTAGCTGTGCAGATGTGAGATGCCCAATTTAAGTGATATTTTTGCTTTAAGGTTACATAAATCAAGACACATACAAGGATTCCAGCCTACCTTTATTGTGATCTAAAAACTCTTCCGTGAATATTGGAATGTCATATCCAGTAAAAATTTGTTCTGCCTCTTTTTCAACCATTTCCTACGACAAAAAAGACACACTTTTCAGCATAAGCTTTTACTTTTAAATAAATGTAACAACAGTTTCGAAAAAATTATACCTACAGCAAAACTTAAATAATAAAATAAAATATAAATTATTTAACTAACTTTTAATAAGAGGTAATGTTACAATAATTTCTTAGTCTATATTGTTCATCAAGTTAAAAGAATAACTATAAACCTCAACTAGTAATTTATAAGTTAATTGGTATAGGATATAGGTCTAATTCAGGAATTCCAAATCTTTCTCGACCAGCATTTTTTTATTGTTTAAATATTTTGATATACCACTTGGGCGACACTAATATGGAGAACAGAGGTTTATTTTAATTTTAAACGTGTTTAAAGATATGTACATTGTTTTGAGCTAAGCCACTAATTTAAGGTTACATTTTCACTTTGAAATATAAAATAGGAGAGATATGTTCTTTAGTTATGTTGTGTTCGTGGGTTGAATTGGACTTAGGAAGTGGACTGCTGAAATAAATACGATATTTTACATGTTTTAGACACGGCTACAAACGGGTGGTTAATGTTCGAATTCTGGAGGTAGACTGACTGTTGTAGGGACGTACGGACATGGACGGTGGTGTGATGTAGGTGGAGAGGGAATCAGGTGATGTTTGTAGCCAATGAGATTTATTGAAAATCATACGATTCATAGTGGCGTGATGTACAAGGAAATCATAGCTACAACGGATATTAATATTCTTAAGATATATTACAATTTCCTCCCTTTTAAATTTGAACAAAACACTGCAAAAAAATGTCAACTTTTAATATATAGTCCATTGGTGGTAGAGTGATATTTCTTGACGCTTAACCTAATCAACAATCAGAAAATGTATAATCATCATTGGGTATAACACAGTATTTAACATCAAGAATCATGGTAAACAGCAAACACACACAAATACAAATTGGTAAAAGAATCATAAGTCTAATCTATTTACAGGTTTCCTAACGCGTTCAGGATTGCGTCGTGGTGGAATTCGACAGGTGTTACTACTACTACTATCACTACTACGCACAGCTGATTTTACGCACGCGGATACGGGCGTAGTACTATGTGTGGGGGAAGGGGGGAGTGACTTCCTGGCTGGTGGTGTAGATCGCCACGCTGGAGAAGCGGGGAGTGACCTCCTACCATTCGCTGGGGTGGTTGCCATGCCAACCGGCTTGCTGACTACGTCCTTGGCGGGGGAAGAAGTACAATGCCTCTGGTATTGCGGCGTTGCCAACTCTGGGTCTGAGCTAGCGGATGTAGGGGTTGCCACGTTTCTATGTACAATATTTTCAGCAAAACCCGTATCTCTGTGCAGCGGACTGTTATTTAAACCGATCAGCTGATCTATGTGACGCTTAGTAACAATGCCTGAACTTAACTCTATTTCATACATAACAGGACTGATTTGCTTGTGTACAGTACCCTGTAACCATTTGTTGTTTGACCTATAATCTCTCATCAAAACAGTTTGACCTGGATAAACTATCCTAGTACTCTTTGACTTAAAACTATTTTTACATTCTTCTTGTTTCTTATTTACAAAATGTGTTACGTTTGGTCTCAATAGATCCAAACGGGTGCGCAGTTTTCTGCCAAACATCAGTTTACTGGGTGTTTCATTGGTAGTTGAGTGAACAGAGTTTCGATAATCGAACAATATTCTACTCAAGGCTACGTCAACATTTACATTGTCATGAAAAGCACGCTTTATTTTGTCTTTAGCAAACTTAACGCTGTTTTCAGCTTGCCCATTACTTTGAGGATGGTAAACAGGACTGAATGTGTGTCTGATACCGTTCATTTCCATGAAATGTTTGAATTCAGCTGACGTAAATGGTGGTCCATTGTCAGAGTGTAGATTAACAGGTAATCCAAACCTACTGAATAATTCTCTTAAAAACTGTATAGCTAGTTTTGCGGAAGTTGAACTAACTTCACCTACTTCCAACCATTTTGAGTGAGCGTCAATAACGATCAAATACATTTTATTTTTGAAAGGCCCTAGGTAGTCAACATGAATGCGTTCCCAAGGAGTGGATGGGTAGTGCCAAACGTGTAATTGGCTTTTAGACGGATTTTTCTGTGTTTCTGACTTTACATGTTCAAATGTCAAAGGTAATGAACTCTCCCGTAAACAATGTAAATAAGTACCTTGCCACGCAAACTCATCAGTAGCATTGTTGTGATTAACACTCAACGGCAATCTAGATAACAAATCTTCGTTGTTTTGATCCGATTTTACTTCACCTACTTCCAACCATTTTGAGTGAGCGTCAATAACGATCAAATACATTTTATTTTTGAAAGGCCCTAGGTAGTCAACATGAATGCGTTCCCAAGGAGTGGATGGGTAGTGCCAAACGTGTAATTGGCTTTTAGACGGATTTTTCTGTGTTTCTGACTTTACATGTTCAAATGTCAAAGGTAATGAACTCTCCCGTAAACAATGTAAATAAGTACCTTGCCACGCAAACTCATCAGTAGCATTGTTGTGATTAACACTCAACGGCAATCTAGATAACAAATCTTCGTTGTTTTGATCCGATTTTACATATTGAATGTCAAATTCGTAACCGGACAAGAACAAAGCATATCTTTGCATGCGACCAGCAGCAAAATTAGGCAATCCCTTTTTTGAGCCAAAAATACTTAGAAGCGGTTTGTGATCAGTATACAAAACAAACTTTCTCCCATACAAATATTGATTGAATTTTTTGACTGCAAAAACAATAGCAAGAGCCTCTTTTTCTATTTGTGAATAGTTTCGCTCAGCTGTTGAGAGTGTGCGTGACTGATACGCTATCGGTTTCTCTACGCCATCTGGTGAGACAATACTTAAGACGGCGCCTAGGCCTACTGAGCTAGCGTCTACGGCTAATTTTAAAGGTAAATTGGTGTCATAGCGAGCCAAAATAGGGGCATTAGAGAGTAGCTCTTTTACCTTGTCAAAAGCTACAATACAATTCTTATCAAAATTGAAGGGTGTGTCCTTTTTGAGCAGGTTGTACATAGGACTTAATATAGTGGAACAATTAGGAATGAACTTCGAATAGTAGTTAATTAGACCTACCAAAGCTTTGACTTCTGTCACTGTTTTAGGAACTGGAGCGTTTTTTATAGCTTCTACCTTAGATTCGGAAGTGTGTAGACCTTGTTTGTCAATTGTCGTAACCTAACGTTACGCTAGAAAAGTGGACGATATAGCAAGAGAACCACTTACGTTCGTTGGTGGACATAGAAGAAGGAGCCGTGACGAATCATCCCACTTCAGGGCTCAGTGCACAGTGCAGCCACCCCGCAAAACATAATAACTCTTCCGTTACTAATAATATTATGACTGTTCATATATGAAACTATAATGACTTCTACTACACTCGTCTTCCCCATAAAAAAAAGTCAATATCATAAATTCAAAATTAACTCAACTTTCAAAATAAAATAAATTCACTTTCAATAAAATGCAACCAAAATTTCTTCTTCCCATTATTCATTAATAATTTTACAAGTCCAGCCTGTGAGGCTTTCGCACAGTCCGTGCAGACTTCCTCAGCGAGGGTGGTGGGCTGCACTGTGCTAGCGGCGACGCAGGAGTTGGCTGAGGCTGGGCTTGCCCTAGGCTCTCCCTGGGACTGGTAGTAGGCCTAGGTACAGGTGACATCATCATGGGACTAGTTGGTCGATCTCCGGCGGGGGTGAATTCTTGGGTACTTGGGGTGATACAACGGGATCCTTGGGTGATACAAAAATCTCCTCCTCTTCTGCATACCGAGCTCTCAAGTGATCCGCATGACAAAATCGGGGTTTTCCACCAATAACACTCACCAGATAGGTGACCGGACTTCTCTTTAGAATTATTTTGCCAGGAACCCAAGATATCTTTTCATTTCGGACAGTTTTGACATAGACTGCCTGACCTTCTGAGAAAAATCTGCTTCTTCCCCTAAGCCTATCAGCTGCATCTTTTTGTTCCCTGTGTTTTTGATCAATGGATGACTGGAGATTGGGTTTTAACATAACCAACTGAGTACGAGGCTTCCAAGACAGTAACATTTCTGCAGGGGTTAAGCCAGTAACTGTATTTGGAGTGTTGCGGTACGCAAACAAGAAATTATCTAATTTCATTTGAAGAGTGGTACGCTGAGAACGCTGATGTTCCTCAATCACTTGACGCAAAAGGTTTTTCTTGACCTCCTGAACACTTCTCTCCGCAGATCCATTTGAAGCCGCATGATACGGGGGAGTTAATGTGAACTTCACATTGTTGTTATGCAAAAAGGTTTTGAACTCTTGACTAGTAAAAGATCTTCCGTTGTCCGACACCAGTTCGACAGGCAATCCATACGATGAAAACAAGGTACGGAGTTTCTCAATAACCTTGGAAGAATTCATGGAACTCATGATAAATACCTCTAGCCATTTAGAGTATGTGTCAATCAAAACTAAAAGTTGCTGTCTCGACTCTGGATCCTCCGCAAAGTCAATGTGTATCCTCTGCCATCGGGTTGATGTTGTAGGCCATTGCTGCAACGGTACTTTAGGTATCGAATTCCTAGTTAACTGACACGCAGAACAAGAGGCCACCACGTCTTCAATCGACTTCTCCATGCCTGGCCACCAGACATAACTTCTCGCCAGCATCTTCATGCGTGTAACTCCCGGGTGTTGATCATGCAACATTTGAAGCACAGATGAATACAGTTTCTTTGGAATCACTACACGAGAACCCCACAGCAAACAACCTTGTTCCACGGACAACTCGTCCTTCTTCCTTAGAAAAATAGCTAGTTCCGGCTCAACCGAGCTCGTCCAGCCGTACATCACAAAATCTCGGACCTTCGAAAGAATCGGATCCTTATCCGTCATTTTACCTATATGCAAGGCAGTAATAGGTGCAATGTCCTTGACAACACAGAAATTGTTCATCACTTCTGTACACATATCTACATGTGAAACAAAATTAGCATCCAGCTCTA